GTGTTTGGATCCAAATGAACTTTGAAATGATAAATACAGACTAATTATACTAGCTGGTTAAACATTCACAGTAGTAAATTATTCATCACGAAAAATTACAAAAAATTAAAAGAACTAATAATCATCCACATAAAGGCAAAAAATTAAGGATTTTTTGCAGTAATTCTATTATAACTCAAATAGTATTAAATAGTAACCCCGAGATATTTAAAACCGAATGATTTTTAAATAATTTTACTAGAAATATTTTAAAATACATGACTATTATTGATATTTTGGTTTGTAATGGCATTACTTTTTATGGTAATCGAACTTCAGTTAATGTATGTGAAATGTTCCCATACTCACGGTGGGCACATGTTAATATGTCCACCGTTTATGTGGCATGCAAACATTGGTATATGTTCAAAAAAATACATCGCCGATGTGTGCATGCCACATAAACGGTGGACATATTAACATGTGAATGTGTCCACCGTGGGTAGGTGAGCATTACTGGTGAAGTTAATTCACTTAAACTAGGTTCTTATTCCTAATTATGATGAACTGAAATAAAGATAGAGATATATAAAGAAAAAAAAACTCCCAAGTTACAATGTGCTTATAAAAATGATCGAGCTTATGATCTGCTTATAAAAGTGTCTTCATGAAAAAAAATCAAATTTAGAGTATGAAATTAATTCAAAGGAGGGTAGAAAATGAAAAATAAATAAATAAAAGTAAGATGCTAATTAATTAATTATGAGCTTTTTTAACTAAAGAAAATGGTCATCCCCATGGTTAAAAAATATTAATATAATTTCTTAATCTGAATTAAACTACAAAATTAAGTATCTGATTGACAATGACGATCATAATTAACATTCTAACAGAAATCCAAACCCAAATTCCAAATACTTTATTACATATATATCAACCCCAAATCAAGATTAACTGCACTGATCACAACTAATTACTTCCTTAATTAAGGAAAAAAAAAAAAAAAACAAGAAACCAAGTTTTAATCAACACACAACAAAAAAAAAAAGCTCAAAGAAATAACATTTAACACCCCCCACTTATCCAAATTAGAAAAACATATGCTTAAGGCAGCAGCACACATATGCATATGGCTGTTTCACATAACTAATTAAACCCCAAAAATAAAAAATTAAATCCCATTAATAATACAAATTACCAAAACCTACCACTTTTTTTCTAGGGTTTCCTTCGTATCATCTCCTCCAACTGTTTCTTGATAGGTTTTTTTTCCCCTCTCTCTCTCTACAAAGGGTTGCTCGTCGAGGATGTGGTGAATCCCGATAGCTCGGTCCACGTGGCCGCTCCTCCCGTGTTATTATTACTATTATTATCACCACCCCACGGCTGGTTTAATCCTCCCATCAGCTGCCTGATCTCTGGCTGGCTCTCCTCCATTTTCACCGCCAGCTGGCTCATCATCGGGCCCAGAAATCTAGCCCTCGGGCCCTGATGTTGGCCCGAGCCCGACGAGCCCATAAAATTCGGCTCTTGGAACTGATACGCCTCCAATCCCCCAAACAACGGGAAATTGTTTGGGCCGCCCAGGTCCAGCAGGCCCACCGACGCTTGGAAGCCCATATCGGGTGGGCCCGGGTAGGTAGTAGCTCCCATGCCCACTCCGAAATTCTCTGGCATGAACCGGATTGGACCAAGGCCAAGCCCGCTGATTGGGCCCATTTCGGGGAGTGCGGTCGAGCCCGTGATGTGATGATCGATGTTGTTGTCTGTGGTGGTGTTCGTGGTTAGGATTTGGTGGCGGGTCGGGTTGGAAGGGGAAGATGATGACGTGGCGGCGGCGGCGGGGGATTTGGATTTGGAGGAGCGTTTGTTGCGGCGGCAGCCGCCGCCGACGGGGACGTTGCGTAGGGCGCCGCCACGTGTCCAGTAGCGGCGGCAGGTTTTGCAGAAGTGTCGGGGCTGAGTGAGGCTGTAATTGTTGAA